TTATAACAGCCTGAGCTGACTAAGACAATTGAGAATCCACTGGTCTTTCATATGGATGTAGTGTTGAATTGATTTTCAATAAGTAATCATTATCATACAAAGCATTTTGGAACACTGCCTGGCACATAGAAAATGTTCAATAAATGTTAGCTATTAGTAGTAATAGCAATATTAGCATTATCATCACCATCATCAAGTAGATAGCCACAGGTTGTTATATACTTCCTTTAATTTTCAATAAAGAATTAAAAGTGAATTATTTTTCTGATAAAGAAATTAAGATTTAGAAGAGTTAAGTGGTTTGACCAAGGTTTCAGAGTCCAGGATTAAAATTATGACTGAAATCTGAATATTTTTAATTACATTAAGTTAATGACAGGAGAAACAGCTTCTTGTTTAGAATTACTTAGAATAACAGTTCCCAAGATGAATATTATTATTCATGCTTAACTTGATTCCTTGGCCATCATCTTTTTTTTTTTTTTTTTACAGATTAAGCTCTCCAACACTAATATGGATGATCTAGAACCAAATACAGGTGGGCAGAACTTTTGGATCTAAAAACCTAACAGTTTTAAAATTCCGCAAAGAAAACAAAAACACTAATTTGAAAAGGTATATGCCCGCTATGTTCATTGCAGCACTATTTACAATAGCCAAGATATAAAAGCAACCTAAGTGTCCATCAATAGATGAATGGATAAAGAAGATGTGGGGTGTGTGTGTGTGTGTGTTTGTATATAAATATATACAACGGAATGTTAGTCATAAAAAAGAATGAAATCTTGCCATTTGTGACAACATGGATGGACCTAGAGGGTATAATGCTAAGTGAAATAAGTCAGACAGAGAAAGGCAAATACCGTATGGTTTCATTTATATGTGGAATCTAAAAAAACAAAACAAAACAAACAACAGAGACAGACCCATAAATACAGAGAACAAACTGGTGATTGCCAGAGGAGAGGTGGGATGGGGAGACGGGTGAATTAGGTGAAGGAGATTAAGAGGTACAAATTATAAAATAATTTAATAATAATTAATAAAAAATTAAGAGGTCCAATTATAAAATAACTGATAAGTTCCAGGGATGTAAAGCACAGCATAGAAAATATAGTAAATAATATTTTAATAACTTTGCATAGTGACAGATAGTAACTACACTTACCATGTGAGAATTCTGTAATATATATAAATGCTGAATCATTATTTCGTATACTGGAAACTAATATAATATTGTATCTCAACTATACTTCAATTAAAGAAAAAAACCCTAATGTCTGCACCTGGTAACAATTAACCTTATTTACAATACAGAGCCCCCCCTCTTAGGCTGTCCCTCCAGGCTTGAAGAGATCAGATTGCTAAAGAGCCTTTTTCTAGAGGTTCATTTCTTATCTAGTACTCATGTCCTTCTACCCTTGTTGATTTCTACAACTGTTCATTTCCTAAAAACTCAGAGGAGAGTGCTCAGAAATGGGTCCACAAGAGGGAAAAGGTGAGGAGAGGTGCTATTGTTGACATTATCTCAGTATCCCCAGAAACGCAGGTCAGTCCAGGACATTTTTTGTGCCCTAATTTTTACTGAGTCCAAAATTGGATCAGGTTTTTGACAGTCTGACTTCCTTGAGATGAGAGAAAAACCCAGAGATGGGCCAGATTCCTACCAGGAAGCCCTACATTTCACTTGGCTAATATTCTTTTATAAAGAACCAAATCAAAGCCATCTCTTTTGTGATATAACACTTTTCTCTGTGGTCCCACATTAGAGCTAACTTTGTTATAGCACTTAGCATTGTATCAAAAATTTTGATTACCTATTGCTTCCCTTCATCTTGCTATGAACAAATAGAAGGATCATAACTTATTTATCTCTGTTCTCCCTCCAACAATAGCAATTACGAAGTGGCTAATACTTTGGAGATGCTCAAGAAATGATAGCTAAACAAATTGATGCACAAATGGATACTAGGTTTAATTTAGACCTGAAGTAAAGATATAATTTCAGAGGATATATTTTTGCTTTATTTGGGCCTGTATCTTTGCATCATACTACGTGATTAACTAGATGATAAACTTTAGTATTGCTCTATTCATCTTTATATTTTCCACAGCATCAGTTTTTAAGAAATATATGCTGAGGACCTGTTCTGCTCAGATACTGAATAAAGTTCGCCTGTTTTAACTGGGGCAAAGTCCATTCATAAACTTAACATTTACTAGATTCTTTTTATTTTTATTTTTTTTAAGATTTTATTTATTTATTTGAGAGAGAGAGACAGATAGTGACAGAGATAGCGAGAGAGAGCACAAGCGGGGAGGAGAGGGAGAAGCAGGCTCTCGCTGAGCAGGGAGCCCGACGTGGGGCTCCATCCCAGGACTCCGAGATCACGACCTGAGCTAAAGGCAGACGCCTAACCAACTGAGCCACCCAGGCGCCCCTATTAGATTCTTTTTTAATTTTTATTTTTTAAAGATGTTATTTATTTGAGAGAGAGAAAATGAGAGAGAGAGAGCAAGAGCAAAGGGAGGGGCAAAGACAGAGGGAGAAGTAAACTACCCTGCTGAGCAGGGAGCTCAAAGTGGGGCTCAGTCCCAGGACCCTGGCATCATGACCTGAGCCGAAGGCAGACGCTTAACCAACTGAGCCACCCAGGCGCCCCTAGATTTTTTTTTTTTGAAGATTTATTTATCCATTTTAGAGAGAGAGAGTGAGTGGGAGGAGAGACAGAAGGAGAGGGAGAGAATTCTCAAGCAGACTCCCTGCTGAGCACAGAGTCTGATGCAGGGCTTGATCCTAGGACCCTGAGATAACGACCTGAGCCGAAATCAAGACTCAGATGCTCAACCGACTGACTGAGCCACCCAGACGCCCCTAGATTCTTTTTTTAATTGGATTCTCGCTATGTGCAAGAATGATGGGAGATAGTATGTATAAAAGGCTGGGCCAGAATTAGTCTTACAGTGAATGCGAATCTGGAACTGGATTATTTTTAAAAGATTTTATTTATTTGAGGGTGCCCGGGTGGCTCAGTCGTTAGGTGTCTGCCTTCGGCTCAGGTCATGGTCCCGGGATCCTGGGATCGAGCCCCGCATCGGGCTCCCTGCTCAGCGGGAAGCCTGCTTCTCCCTCTCCCGCTCCCCCTGCTTGTGTTCCCTCTCTTGCTGTCTCTCTCTGTCAAATAAATAAATAAAACCTTAAAAAAAATTTGAGAGAGAGAGAGAGAGCACGAGTGCAGGGGAGAGGGGCAGAGGGAGAGAGACAGGTAGACTCCCCACTGAGCAGGGAGCCTGACATGGGGCTTTGTCCCAGGACCCTGGGATCATGACCTGAGCCAAAGGCAGATGTTCAACCAACTGAGCCACCCAGGTGCCTCTGGAACTGGATTTTTAAAAATCATAAATTTGGGATCATAAAATAATAGGGCATTTTAGTTTCTAGGAAGAGCATAATCAAAAGCAGAGAGGCAAGAGTGAATATGGCATATTTGGAAGGCATTGGTTGGGTGGTGGTAACTTTGTAGTCAAGGATCCCAAGCAAAGAAGATATATAGATGGCTAATAAGTGCAGGAAAAGATACCCAACATCATTAATCATTAAGGAAATGCCAATTAAAACCATAATGAAATGAGATACCACTGGACATCCACTAGGATGGTTATAATCAAAAAGACTGCCAATGCCAGGGGTTGATGAGGATGTGGAGAAACTGGATCTTCGTACATTGTTGATGGGGATATAAAATGATACAGCTACTTTGGAAGATAGTTTGAAATTTCCTAAATGTTAACATAAACTTAATTATGAGTCAGAAATGCTACTCCTAAGAACCACCCAAGAGAAATGATAGTATTTATGTCTACTCAGAAGTTTGCACATGAATGTTCATAACAGCATTATTCATAATGGCCCCAAAGTGGAAACAACCCAAATGTACCTCAGCTGGTAAATGGATAAACAAAACATGGTATATCCATACAACAGATACTGTTCAGTGGTAAGAAGCAACAAATTACTGACATGCTACCTACATGGATGAACTTCAAAAACATGCTAAGTGAAAAAAGCCAGACAACAAAGGATTCTATTTATATGCAATATAGAATTCCATTTATATGAGTTTCATAAAAGGCAACTCTGTGGAGAAAGAAAGTTGACTAGTCATTGTCTGGGGCTAGGAGAGGGAGCAAGAATTGACAAGGTAACTTTTTGGGGTGAGGGAAATATTCTAAAAGCAGATCCTAGCAGTGGTTGCAGAACTCTATATATTTAGTAAAAATCATTGAATTGTACACTTCCAGTAGGCTAATCTTATGATATGTAAATTATACCCCAATAAAACTACGGGTGGGGGTGGGGGGTAGGACACAGGTTTAAATCAAATCCTGGCTCTACTAGTTTCTAGCTATGAGACTTAGACAAGTCTCATAAACTGCATAAACCTTTATTTTCCCATCTCTAATATAGGGATGATAAAAATAGTACTTACCATAGCTACCCAATGAAGACTAAGTAAGTTCATGAAGTAAAGCATGTAGCACATAGTAATTACTCAGTGAATGTTAGTTCTTGTTATTATTAGTGTTATTGGAAGATGGGTGAGGGTATCTGCCTGATAGGATGAGCACATGGTCCACATTGGGGGCATGAGGGCTGGGGTGCAGTAAGTGAGGTGGGGCTAATTGATAGACACTGTGGTATTTGTATTTATTTTATTTATTTATTTTTAAGATTTTATTTATTTATGTGACAGAGAGAGAGAGCACAAGCAGGAGGAGTGGCAGAGGGAGAGGGAAAAGCAGGCTCCCTGCTGAGCAGGAAGCCCAACATGGGGCTCCATCCCAGGACCCTGAGATCATGACCTGAGCCGAAGGCAGATGCTTAACCGACTGAGCCACCCAGGTGCCCCTGTATTTATTTTCAAAAGGTACACGGAGATTTAGAGGGAAGAATAGATCTCCAGCCCCAAGAAGGAAAGGAATTAACTGTGGGACTTTTGAGGAGATAAAACAAAGAAGAGGTAGGTGGCAATAAAAACGCAGAAGGAAACTGCAGATAGGCAATGTTGAGTAAAAAAGATAGGAAATGAGCACTAGCTGGATGACTATAGCTGTATTGAGAACCCTTTTCTAAATTGGATTTGTATATAGGTAAAAAAAACTTAATTTTAGGGGCACCTGCCTGGCTCAGTCAGTAGAGCATGTGACTCTTGATCTCAGGGGTGTAAATTCGAGCCCCATGTTGAATGTAGAGATTATTTAAAAATAAAATCTTAAAAAAAACACCTTAATTTTATTTACTCACGTATTCGCTCATTCATTTAATCAACAAAATGTACAAACCAGAGATAATAAGAGCACCTACCATATAGAGTTGTCATGAATTAAATGGATTAATTCTTATAAAGCACAGTTCATAATGTTGCTTTGTATATGATATTAGGGAATTAGATCTGAGCTTCTAAGAGTTGTTTTCAACCCATTTATATCAAGGCTCACTAGTTAATTGGCAGCCCAGAACTGTTGTTGTCCACATTC